GCCATCCGCCGAATAAACCAATGGGCTAAGGAAATCTCGCCGGAGGGCTAACGGGTTTCTTGAGCAACAAACGAGTTTCTTGATAAGAAACCGGTTTCTTGAGCAAGAAACGGGTTTCTTGGCAAGAAATGGGCTTCTCGAGCAAATAATAGGTTTCTTGCTTTAGAAACGGGTTTCTTGTTGAAGAAACTTGTTCAAGAAACTTGCAAGAAACATGTTTCTTGTTCAAGAAACTGGTTTTGTTGAACATGAAACAGGTTTCTCGAGCAAGAAACAGTTTCTTGGAGCAAGAAACTTGTTTCTTGCTCGAGAAACATGTTTTCTTGTATTGTTTTTCTTGTTCAAGAAATTATTTTTTTGGTAGTTCAAGAAATTGTTTTTGCTTTGTTGTTTGTTTGTTAGTTAAAATAATAATATATTTTTCATGTTATATTTATTATTTCCTTTTCCACTTCATTTATTTTTCACATGAAATTGATCAGTTTGGAAAATCCCGTCCTTTTCAAAGGCCTCGTATTTTCCTTTACAAATTCCAATAGCCTGACTAACCATTAGGGGTGTTCACGGTCTAGTTTTAACCAAAAAAAATGTCAATTCAGACCGCAGATCGGTTAATGGTCGGTTAAAAAAGCCTTAAAAAATTCAGTGGTTATTTTTTAAAAAAATCCAGAATAACAAATTCACTATGACAAACAGTCGGTTAACGGATTACCTGTGGCAAACCGCCGGTTTAACCGGATCGGACCGATAAATATTAAAAAACTATAACAAATATATATATACATTCAGTCATTCATTATGGCCGACTGTTTAAAAAAAATTCACTATGGCCAACAAATACAATACATTCACTTTTACTTTTTGACATTTTGTTGGCTTAATTTTATAAGACACTATAACTTTTTTACATTTTCCCACCTTGCTTGGGTTAAGTTTGCATAATTAAATCTTTATCATTTTTGTATTTTTATGTTTATAGGACGAAATGTGTATTTTTATGCTTATGGGACGAATTGTTTATTTTTTATTTCATTATTGTTGTTTTTGAAATATTGACACGACCTATCCCTTTTTTTAAACCGTTTATATTAATACCCCAACAAATAATTTAGACAATATTACTTTTTACATCTTCAATTATACTCCTTTTGAGAACGTGTTTAGATTTTCAGTTTTTGTTTTTAATAAAAATCTTAATTTTGTAACTCACACATCTTTTGAGATTATTTAACAATTTTATTTGCAACTAAACTGTACTTTTGTATTCTTCCTTCTTCCTTCCTCGTCAGTTTTTATTTTGTTTTCTTTCTTCTTTCTTTCTCGCCAATTTCTATTAGTCTTCCTCTTTTCTTTTATTTTCTTCTATGATTCCTTTTTTTCGTATTTTTTTTTTGTTCTGTAACTTTTTTTATTGCTTTTTTTGTAGTTTATTTGATTTTTTTAATCAACTAGCCGCTTTTTATGAGGACCGATCGGGACTACAACGAGACCTTGCAATCTGATCAGTCCACGGAGTTTTCCATGTCCAGTCCGAGGGCGAGGTAATTTGGTGCTCAATTTTACAATTTTTTTTTTTTTTTTTTTTTTTTTTTTT